AGAAAGGGGGAACTGATCACAAGGATCTACATATAACCCCCTCCCTGGGGGATGGACAACAGAAAAGTGGGTGAAGGGAGACATCGGACAGTGCCCACAAAATAATAATTTATAAATTATCAAGGGTTCGTGAGGGAGAGGGGGTAGGGAGGGAGGGGGGAAATGAATTGATACCAAGGGCTCAATTAGAAAGCAAATGTTTTGAGAATGATGATGGCAACAAATATACAAATGTACTTGACACGGTGGCTGTATGTATGGATTGTGATAAGAGTTATACGAGCCCCCAATAAAATGATTTTAAGAAGAAAAAAAAAGAATCATCTTCTGCAAAGCTTAAAAAAAAACCAACTCTGGATGTCACCTCCCTAGCTTCTGATTTAATTGATCTGGGGCCTGGCCCAGGTATTGGCATGATTTCAGCATTCCCCGAGTAATTCTAATAAGTAACAGGGTTAAGAACTATTGCCCTAAATGCCTATAGCCTGTGACAGAGTCTGCCTACCAGGGAGTCCCATTTCAAAACGGGTATGGCCTCTGGGTTTTGGCATTCTGTGTGCAGTTCCTTATGGGAGGTAGACTTCTGGACTTGTCTTAGCCTTGGAAGCCTGCTTCCAGTCAAGAAAGAGGGTTAGTGACATGGGCAGTGCTAGCACAGATTGATGTTAAGCACCATCAGCTTGGTTCCAATTCATAGCCACTCTTATGTACAACAGAACAGAGCGCCACCCTGCCCCGCACCACCCTCACATCTGTTCTTCTGTGTGAGCCCACTGTTGCGGCCACCGTGTCCATCGTCTTGTTGAGGGCCTCCTTTCCTGCTGCCCTTCCATTTTAGCAAGCATGATGTCCTTCTCCGGGAGCTGGTCTCTCCTGACAGTGTCCTAAGTACATGAGACGAAATCTCGCCCCCTTTGCTTCTAAGGAGCACTCTTCATCCAGAGCATTTGTTTGCTCCATTGGAGCCCGTGGTGCTTTCAGTGTTCTTCACCAACACGGTAGTTCAAGCCCATTGATTCTTCTGTTACCTATTGGTCCAGTAGGGAGGATTTTGGTTTTCTTTTGACATTGCGTTGTAATCCATGCTGAAGGCTGAAATCCTTGATCTTCATCAGCAAGTGCTTCAAATCCTCTTCACTTTCACCAAGCAAGCTTGTGTCACCGACATATACCACAGGTTGTTAATAAGCCTTCCTCCAATCCTGATACTTCATTCTTCTTTATATAATCTAGCATCTCTGATTATTGTTCAACCCACATAGGAGGTTATTAATGAATGAGGGAGGAGCATTGTTGGGTGGACAATGGTTGGATAATTGGCTGGATGCATGGGTGGAATTCTTAAACCAACTGGTTGTCTTGGCTGCTAAGGAGCCGTGGTGGC